AATAATAATAATAATATAATGAAAAGGAAAACAAGAGAGAGAGAGAAACAAAACCCAGGAAAAACAAGTGATGCAACCGCTCACAACCCACCAACTGATGCCCAGCACGTCCCTGAGCAGTGATTGCTGCCCCCCAGCCAACTCCCCCCAGTTCATATACTGAGCATAGTGTCATATGGTATGGAATAGCCCCTTGGCCAGTCTGGGTCAGCTGTCCTGGCTGTGCCCCTCCCAGCTTCTTGTGCCCCAGGCAGAGCATGGGAAGCTGAAAAGTCCTTGTCTAGTGTAAGCACTACTTAGGAGCAACTAAAACATCAGTGTGTTATCAACATTATTCTCATCCTAAATCCAAAACACAGCACTATGCCAGCTACTAGGAAGAAAATTAACTCTATCCCAGCTGAAATCAGGACAGGGCTTTAAGACTGTTGGCAGGTCTTGATCCTCAAAGACTCAGGAATTCTCTTGGGAAAGATTTTCTTTATCTCAAGAAGGAAGATCAGATTATGTTCTTAAATCACCACTAGCTTCACCAAACAGCTGAACTGATAGTCAGTAGCATTTTTGGTTTTTTTTTTCCCCAGATCAACTGTTTTTCATGGCCTTGTTCTCAGTGAGGCTTTAGCCAGTAAAATAGCAATATCTGCCTGGTGCCACTGCTGATCTACACACTTCTGAGCTGTTCTTGATCAGTTATGAAAGCAATTATATAACGTGGGTGCTTGTGACAACAGGGGAGTGGACTCAGTGACACACCAGGTCCCTTGCAGTTCTCTGTTTTATTTTCCTAATAATCTCACACAGAAGAAAAATCAGTAAATGTTAAGTAAGATGCCTGTAGTCTGTCACCCTTTCCTTTAGCATCATTTAGGAGATGTGCATCTTTCAAATACAGGACAATGTGTTCTTTGTGTAATGTAGACATGTCAGATATAACATGATACCATGATACGTAGGAATCAGACTGAAATATTTAACTTCAGTTTGTGCTGTAGGTTAGAAACCTAAATCTGTACTTAATGATCTAATAAAACTGGATTTATTTACAGACTGAAGCTGAAAAAAACCTTCTGTTGTTACTGAATTTATTGATGTTGTCAGTGTGAAATACTGTTTTACTTTGATGGCCAAACTTGAAATATTTATGAAATTCTACATAATTGACAATTTTACAAAAGGTTATGGTAGTCTATGTGTAAAATCTCTTAAGATCCCTGATGCATTCCAAATGTGTTTTGCTTGTTCAGATCTAGATTCAGAGTCCTTTTTATTGAAAACATTTTTTCATTGATTGGCGATTGTCATTTCTGTTTCATGATTTTCTAGGCAGTGTTTACTGATTTGGAGATTCTTGCAGCAATTTTTGCCAGTGCAATACATGATGTAGATCATCCTGGGGTTTCAAACCAGTTTCTTATCAACACAAGTAAGTTTGATGTTCAGTGTTTTTTCTCAAAAATTTGCTGCAAGATCTGCACATAGCACCTGAAAAATACACAGTTCATTACTTGTTTGCTTTTATGTGTACCTTTTCTCAGTAAATGGATAGGTGTTCATATTTTTAACTGGATATCATTTTGCATTGCTTGTAACTTTAGAAATAATATGCATAGTACCCTCTAGCAAAAATTACTAAGACATGAACTATAATCCTGGCACTATTTCAATGTATTGGATGTGGTCTCTTTCCTGGAAGTTAGTTGGTTTACATTAAATAAATAAATAAAGTTGTAGGAGAAAAATGAAGGAAAATTAAATAAAATATCAAAAAAAAGAAGACAACAGTTTCTATGTTTATATTGGAAGCATATGGTATGACCAAGGATAGCCATACATTTTTAAGAAATTTAGAAAACAAGTTTCTTTTTAGCAGACTGGCAGGCCCATCTCTGTCTCTCCCTGGCTGTTGTACTTGTTTTCTGATCTCTGCATACTCATGCCTCTTGGACTGAATTTTCTCAGCCTGTCCCTGCAGGCTATGGCAAACCTCTTCTCTTTTTTTGTGAGTCTCTTGCTGGCACTCCATGTGTGGAGGAAAAAGCCCTAATGAAATGAGACCCTAATGCCATCTCTGAATTTGAAATCCAGGGTATATGTTCTGCATTCCTCAAGGCTGTTCTCTGCAGCATTGCATGAACCACCTCCCCCTCTTTAATCTTCTACTAGAAGAAAAACACTGTTAGTTTTGTTGAACCCAATCATGACGCGTTTACTGAATGGCTTGTTGCCCTTGCTTTGATTTCAGTGGAGGATGTTACTATTTTAAGTGGGTAGCACATTGTAAGTCAGTGCAAGTTCCGTCATACGATGTTATTTCTTTTGCCATCTGATGACTTCTCCTTTTGCAATAACTGACCCAGAAGTACAATAGTTGTAATAATACTAAGAATCCAAGTACATAAGAAGAAAAAACTACAGAAATGGAAACATATCTAGGGTTGCATATTTGACCCATCTGGTTGCACATTTATAGATGATGTCATTCCTGCACTTGGGTGAATCTATTGCACTGGTGCTAAAATAATATGACCCCATATCAGCAGTATAGTTTGAAGAAGGGAGCTCCTGTTCTGACTCATTGCTGCTGTACATTCAAATAAGACCTCCACTCCAGTCTAGCCTGCATCTAATTTTATTTGCCTTAATGGCCTGAGGGCTACCCTGTAGTGAAATTCAATTTGGTGACTCATCTGCAAGGAGGAGGATTTGGATTGACTCTAGATTTCTGGTGCTGTATTGGTAACCAGTACACTTCAGCAGTGTGGTATAGGAAGAGAGTGAATCAAGCTTTGTGCACAAAACAGTGTGTAATACCCAAATTCTTAAGAGTAGGCATGTGTAAGTAAAGTTTTTATTTGTTTGTTTAATCAGAAATTGAATAGCAAGATATATTGGTGGCTCTGAGGTGCTATGGGGAAACCACTGAGTTGTTCAGGTTTAAGCAGGATGACCAGCTAATTGAAGGGACCAGTAGTGATACATAAAGCTTTTGCTTTTAGGCAGACAGTTGAAATCCAGCTAAGTTAGGAGTGATTATTATGCTGCTTATTTAGTGGCTTAGAAGAAATGTCTTGTTCTTCTCAATTCAGCTTTTGATAGAGAAGGCTTCCATGTCAATCAAGTAACATCACTAATTGGAACTGCTGTTGCCAAGCTGAAAAGAGACAAAGGGATTTTATCCCTTCTGAGTTACATGTACAAAGAAGAAACTGTAGGGACAGAGACAGAGATAAAGACCATCTAATTTAGATTTGTTTAGCTACCTAATACCCATCATTTTCAATGAGAGCTTAAGAATCAATGCCCACATGGCTTGTACAAAAGTCACACATGAAGTCTCTCAAATCCCAGATTTTCCTAATCTCTAGAAGATCATTTGGTACCATCTAGTTTTATGTTTTGCAATTAACCTTACAATGTATTAACATTTCACTAAGAAGTATAAGAATACATTTTTAAAAGCATAATAGACTTATAGTTACTTAAAGTATGTACATATTTTCATATTTCAGCTTATTCTTTATAATTACTCATGTGATATTTCTGAATATTATTTCCCTATTTCAGGTTTTAAAGTCTATTTACACAGTTGTCTAAAAATCTGATCCCTCTTGAATGCTATTAAAGAACAAACAAATATGGATTGTGTTAGCATCAGAGGAGATGCTTATTTGATCATTGTACCTCTGTCCTTCCAGACAAATACTCTTGAAGCTTATAATGTGTTACAGAGATTACGAAGGGGGAACTTTCTTCCATTTCCACCTCCATTACAGTTGAGCACATTTTAGCTCTGTCTGTAGACCCAGCCCTTCCAAAGTAGTTTGGCAATATGTTGAGTGTTTTGCAGTTGGGGCTCATCAGAAGGCTGTTTGAAAGGAAAATAAACCAGTGCCTGTCATCTTTGTAAGAAAAATAACAAGTAGGCAAGCTTTGTAAATGTTCTGTGAAAGATGAAAGAGAGATCATTTGACAAACTCGCTTTCTTTTTCTTTTTGCTATTATGGTTTTGCTGCCATCAGGATAAGGAAAAGTAGAGGAAGGGTTTCCTGATTCACAAGATTGATGTATTCAAGACAGGAGAGGAAGACAGCAGGAGAATGCATAATGAGGCTAATGAAATCTGAAGAGCAGAGCTTTTATAGGCACCCCATTGAGCTAGAGGGATTTTAAAACAAAGCTGCTGTAAAAGAAGATAAAGAGGACAAAGAGTACAATAGACTTACATATGGTTAGATTTAGGATAGAACAGCTGTAATAAATAGAAATTAATATCAGCACATGATAAGTGTGATTGCATAAAAAGCATTCATTTTTGATAACAGATTCATTTGCAAGCTGTGTCTTAAAACATATGCAAGCTGATTGTGTAGTATCCCCAGGTAGAATCTAAAGCTGTGCAGAAAATTGTAACTGCTTTTATTTGTCAAAGCTGGCTCTTCAGTGGGCCTAAGCAGACAAATGCAGACCTTGTGTGTGTGCCTTAGTACAGGCATTGCTAGGAAGGTGTATGTTGTTCTCACAGCCATATGGAGTGACTGAGTTAAGAATACTTTTGTTAGAGAAGGCAGCATTACGGCATCAGGCGTTGATTGCACTCAAGTACGAGGCAGTAGGCAAGGGCACTGCTTGCATTTTCAAGCCACATGACCTTCCAAGAAAAAGACCAGAAGCATAACTGTTACCACCCTACCAGCCTCCTCTCAAAACATCCTATTGTCATGGACTAATGACCCCTAGGCCTAGGCTAGGCATCTGAATGCCTTAGCTAACTGCTGAAGGACATAAGATATGTGCTCTCTGTCTGACCTACAGCAAAGCTTCAGCTATGTATTCCCAGGTCTGAGTACTAGATAGGTGCAACTTAACTTAAACAATTGAATTTTAGTAGTTGTGATGGGAGGGAGGGATGAGAAGAGAAAACATCAGTGTGTGTTTTAGTTCAGGTGTGTTTATACATATAATATTTTCCATGTGACCTCATGCAAATATGAAAATGTATTGTGAAAAATACCTTACTTTTGTATTTTTTCTAACTTGCCACTCCAGGTATGTGTACATGCTTCACTGCAAAGCTGTTTTTTTATTTTCCTCAACATTCTTTGCCTTGATTTGTTAAATAAATTTTGTAACTTTTGATAGTGTGTGAACTACAGCAGCTGTTTCTAAAAGTTCATCTGCAAATCTTGTTATGAATGTAATGAATTTGAAAAATCATAAGGGATTTGGTAGAAGCACAGGCTTTAGTAATGTTCTGCCCTGTGACTGTTATTGCAGATTCTGAACTCGCCTTGATGTACAATGACTCATCAGTACTGGAGAATCATCACTTAGCTGTGGGCTTCAAGCTGCTGCAGGAAGAAAATTGTGACATTTTCCAGAATTTGACCAAAAAACAGAGGCAATCATTGAGGAAAATGGTCATTGACATTGTGAGTTCTGCTTGAGAGTCCCTCTTGCATAGTGCTAGCAAATTGAATAATAAAGCACAGAAACGTTTTATGATAAATTACATGTCGTTAGACCCATAACCAATGAAGTAAAAGTTTGAAGTTTTATTGTGTATTGTCCAAACATGAATAGTGGGTTCTTTTCAGTTTCAATAGCCATCTATACATTTTTGGAAGGTATACGATCCTCCTTCAAGCTGTTTTCATACTGACGTGTATGCCATTTCACCATCACAGTTAGAAATTTGCTACTGAATTGATGATGAGCTTAGACTGATCAGATCTTTCTGAACAATTCTGAACAATCATTTTGTTGTATTCTTAAACTAGTCAAAATGAAAACTTATTATTTTGGACACTAATGACATATGGGACTCAGACTTTTATAACGTATTCAGATACAGGAGTTATGGGCTCCTTCCAGAACTGTTTATTTCTGTGTTCAAAGATTTTTTAAAAATCAGTAGAGTAATTTACATAATATTCATTTATATGTTTGTTTCTTTCAAGGTACTTGCAACAGACATGTCTAAGCATATGAATCTATTGGCTGATTTAAAAACTATGGTTGAAACCAAAAAAGTGACAAGTTCTGGTGTCCTACTTCTTGATAACTATTCAGACAGGATTCAGGTAAGAAAATTCATCTGGAAATGGTCACTTGTATTGACTTACATCCTTAATAACATTGGCCTGCCCATTCTCCAGCATGGGTTAGATAAGCTGTCCATTCTCACACCATGACTCATTCCCTTCCCTCTTCTCCCTCATGTTTCCTACCTGTGACGTATTCTGTTAGGTACTGAGTGACTCTCTCAGAGAGTAATGGGGTGGTAAAGTACTTCTGGACTGAATGTGGCTTTGGCCTTCCCTTCAAATTATCAGCACCTGATTGGTCTTTCTCTCAAACATTTTCTGTCTCTTATACATGCAGAAGCAGCAGAAGCAAGGTAATTCATGGCTATTACTGCAAGTGTGAAAAACACCCAAGCACATAAGTTTTTGCTGTTTAGAAGAAATCTTGCACTACACGTATTTTCAAGATTCTGTTTCACAGCCACCAAAAGTGTAAATGGAAAAGGAGCTGTTTTTCTCCAGTGTAATAACACCACAGTTGTTCAATCTATTTTAGGTTCTTCAGAATATGGTGCACTGTGCAGATCTAAGCAATCCAACCAAGCCACTCCATCTCTACCGTCAGTGGACAGACAGAATAATGGAGGAATTTTTCCATCAAGGAGATCGGGAAAGAGAGAGGGGAATGGAGATAAGTCCCATGTGTGATAAGCACAATGCATCTGTAGAAAAATCACAGGTAATTGATTTGAGTAGGCAGTTAAATAAAACAGTATGACATCTTAACAGAAAAGGGTGGTCCATAGCCATTCTTTATGTTTTGATGAATTTCTGAATGCACTATTTCCTTTATTTCCTTCTAGTTAATTAATTCAGCTCCTGAGTAGTGAGGGGAGCTGAGATTCTTACTGTGAAAACAGCACATGGCAGTGTGTTTGCTGAAGAGATTCCATCACTGTGGTGATCTGCAATGAAGCATATGCTTCAGAAGAGAGTATTGTACAGCTGCTCATTAGGGTTTCCTTCAAAAGCAGAATTAAATATAAAGCAGCTGTTTGGCTCACTAGATGCAGTGGAG